TTCCATTTATTGTTGCCCAAAATGAGCAAGTTTGTTCAATTTCCCAGTCAAAGCTTCAGTAATAATTCCTCTCGTAGTTTCCATGCTTTTCTCACTACCTGAAACATCGACGGAGAGCTTTTAAGCCATGATATTTGTGGGCAAAGCTGGGTAAACATTGGACGATATTGGATGCGAGATAGGAAACGATATGGCGCCTAAATAGGGAAATTACTAGACGAAATTACAAGGTCTCAACCCACACCTGATGAGCTTTTTCCCTCCCTCCCATTGCCGAAGTTGCGGAGTTCAAAAGCTGGGCGCCACACATTCCTGGCCAAGCCCTTTTTGCATAAGCATAAATAATGAAGAGATTCCGCCGTCCTCGGAAATCGCATGTGCGAGTCCTGGGCAAATTTATGATGTGTGACAAAAATTTTAATTGTATCCCTTCGCCAAAACGGAAAAGGTTGGCGAAGAGGAGCGTCTCTGAAAGTCAAACCCATTTCAAAGTGTTAGGATTCTGGCCTGTAAACAACACTTAATTGTTTCTGCCCAGGAATTGTTAGTGCGTAAAGTGAGATTTACAACAGCAAGAAGGGCGGGGGGAGCGCAAATGAGGAAACAAATGGTCCGTGCTGTAAAATTTATGCCACGAGAGCCGCGCTTATATTCAAAACTCCATGTCAAGTGTCAGGCGAATGCTTGGCAGGAACCGCGATTCTTGCATTGTCGCGCTCCCTCAGAATATATCGCCGAAAAATTCCATGTAAGTGTGCAAAAAGCAATAAAATTTAAACACATTCGGACGATTTTGCATGGGCGACAGCAATTTTATTCCTCACTTTGACCGTCCACTAATTTATTCATTGCACATTTGAAGTTGTCGTTCTGTTTTCACACACACAATTTCTGTGTGCATTTTAATTTTTTGTTATAAAACCACCCAAACCAAAAGCATTGAGACGTCTTGCCAAGTGTTGCTGAGAAACCAGAGAAAAAAAAATCTGTTTTTCCAATTGAGCAAATAATGCTGAATGTAATCCTGGCAGGTTATTCCAATTCCTTGCTAAATTCCCTTCCAAATTCAGGCAATTTTCCCTCAACCGACTAATTATCCCCGCACGAGAAGTTCAATAGAATTCGGAGAAACGGCAAAAATTGGGGATTTTCGTCTTTGTGGCGGCTTTTGTGTGAATTGGATGAAATCCAGGTACAAATAGGACTCTTAGAATTCTCCCAGGCATCGCCTTTCCTCATCCAAACGCTCCTTAGTGCACATCCTGCGGAGTTTTTTGGTGTGGGTGACAAACACTGCCAATGTCAGAGAGATTTTTCTCCGTTGGAGAGAAAATTTGTCTGGATTTTCGTCCTTTACACTCAATTTCCATGATTTACTCTTAGTCTCTGTGTCGCACAATCTTCCCTCCACCTTCGCGTACACTATTTACCCTTCCTGACAGATTTTCCTCGTGCAAGAATTTTTCCGGCGCGTCATGCAAAAATTGTGTCTGTTCTTGACGAAGTTTGAATAAAAATTCCCGCCTTCGCCCTTGCCGCGCCCGCGAAAGGGTTTAAAGAGTGAAGGAAATCCTGGCTTGTGAAGGAAAACCAAGCGTTTCAGAATTCTCACATAGACTCTGAATCTACAGTGGCGATAATTAGTTTAGGACACGCAATTAGAACCATTCTTCTGCCATGCATTAATTGTAAATTACTGATTTTCTGGACATTATAATAAGAAATTGACTAAAATAACACTTTGTAAAGAGAGAAAATGCTGTAATTTTCAAGTCTTTCCAAACTCAAAATCAATATTATGCTTATAACATGGATTTAGAGCAAAATATTCAGTGTCTTAATTTAATTCTCGCAGACTTTTTATGCAAATCTCTCTATATTTTGCAATATCTCGGCCTTAAATTAAGATATCGCTATGATTTCAACGTCATTTGAAAGATCATAAAATTCTCAGCATTTCTTGTTTTAAGGTAAATGTCTCTAAAATTGAAAGAAATATCAAATTTCTAGCACCAAAATCAAAATTTGCCCACAATTCCTTCAGTGTCCTAAACAAACTTTCGCTACTGTGTATTTCATAGGACAGAAGAGCAAGAACAGAACTCTCGAGGGTCGGAGAGTGGCTCAAAGAAATTTGCAAGGCGGCGAGGATCAAAGCTGCGAACGTATTACTTGTAAATATGTAATAAGACCCTTAAATTCAACCCTTCAACCATTCAATGGTGAAGAACAAAGTGCTGCTCCAGCGATTCTTATTGTTCCTATCTCACAGACGTTTTTCTCTGCAATTTCAATGTGAAAACTTTAAGAGGTTCCTGAGTGTATGGATTCTAATTCTGCTCCTTTCCATGTGACCAAAATCAACCTTCGCAGACTCAAATTTATCGCCACAATCGAGAATGCAAAGAGAGAACAACATCGACATGCGATGTGTTGTGTGCGTAAAATTACAAATGAATGGTGTCATTTTCAGAGCTGATGACATTTTTATACTGTCGTCTTTAGCATGTCGAAATTAAAGTCACGAGAGAAAGACACAGTCAAGTGAAACTACCCGAGGAAGAGCGCCAAAAAAGCATCAGAGCGAGAAGTGATGAAAAAATGTCTGGCGAAAGACATAAACATTATCGCCCAGGACAGACAGAAAATCGATGTGATAAATATTTTTGCGCCTCAAATTAAACATGAGAATTTTCAATAAAATAAATTTTCCGTATATTTAAATAAATGTTGTTTCTTAATCGAATATTTGCTGTTAAATTGAGCTTGTCTCTCTCTCTCTCTCTCTCTGGCATCTGGCTGAATGTGGCCGATTTGATGACAAGATTGAGAAACGCGCGACTGCAAATGACGCAATTCGCGATGAGAGATTCAGAAGCTGAGGCGATTTTTGGATGATCTCGCGCTAGTGGATTCGACTGCCAGATAAGACATCGTGTTGTACTTGCCATAATAATCAGGGAACACGATGCCTCTGCCTTCATGCACCTTCGTGGCGTTCGCGATAAACTTTTACTGCAAACTACGGGCAATATCAATTGAAATAACCGCGAGGTTTGGAGGTGTTTTCGATAAGTGTGTAATCGAAGAAATGTGTTTTTTTCTTTAAATACCATCAGAGTAATAAAACGCATCTCGTTTTGGGATGAAATAAGAATTAAGCAGGAATTTTCCAAATGGAGTTAAAGTTTTTCTGCTAAACGGTTTCTTGGTAACAGAATAGGATATTAAAAGCCTTCCCAAGGAGGATATAATACCCACTAAATTGTCACTTCCAGAACTTTGGCAGTGCTTTAAACATGAGTTTTCCATAATTTCTTCACTCTCTTTCGAAACTTTATACATTTTTCTTACCGCTTTATGTATCATAACCTCAAATTTTGGAGTTTTTGACATAAAAAGACGTTATTTTTCACTTTTGTGACTCTCAAAACTTACTTTCCAACGAATATTTTGATGTGAATCAATTTTCAATGGCGCTTTTAGATACACTTTGGTTCATAACCTAAAAGATATCTTTAGATATTTATAAGAACCCCTGAAAGAAACTTATTTCGATTGTTTTACATACAAATCTAGGGAATAAATCAACAATGAGATGAAATTTGCTATTTTAGTGTAGAAAATCAGGTGAAACAACTCTTAAAGGAGACAATTTTGTATCCTGAAACAATATTTTAGAGGTTATGTTCAATCTTAGCGTAATCAACTCGATTTTCACATTGAAATTTGTGTTTTCCAATGTTATTCAATCACTAAATGATGCTTAAAGTCAGTTACATAACCTAACTTTTGCTTTCTAATTGCTTTTTAATCATATTGTAAATATTCAAGCACTTCTGACCATAATATCTCCCCCTTGAGGCGTCGCTCTTTATTTGAGTGTGCAAAAGATACAGATAAAATGTGATATCTTGAAGTTAATACTTTGTGTGCTCACAAGACAATGCTGAACAAGTGTACAATCGTAAGATTATCTGTACTTTGATGCTTTCGCCTATTTGAACTACCCACTTTGAGTGAGATTGTCGATGCGATGCATGTCAACGAAGGTGATGCTATAAATTACACTTTAGTCTCTGTCGGGGAACTGGAAACATCTGAAATTTCACACAAAAGACTCACTCATCGGTGAATCAACAGTCAAAGGAGATTCATGAGATATTTATGCAGAATTGAGCAAGAGAAGCCAAACACAGAGAGAGGGTAAAAGGTGCACAACTCAAAGAGCTCATCTTTCACCATGAGCCCATCTTTCGCCCACGGGAATGGGAATGTAATTGAAATTTGATGAAATTTACAAATGAATTGCCCAAGGCGCCAAAGAGGAATGCTTTTGGGTAACTGATATCGGTGGTAGTTGCGCTCCATCGCTCAGCTTGAGCATAAATTGCATTTTCGGCGACTAGATAAAGCCGCAAAAGCATGTGTGGAAAAAACGAGGAGTGTCAAATGGAATTGGGATTAATTTCAATATCAAAGGGTGAATTGAGGTGAAAATGGTGGTTAGAAAATCACTTTGTTTTGTTTTTCCAACCCCCACGATTTTTTTTTCGTCGCTCACATGATATTCAAACATCATTTCTGATGGAGGGTGGGAAAAGTGCAAACATTATTCATAGGATAATTTTGGGGGAATATTTGATATTTGGCAATATCAAACCACATTTCTAGTTCAACTGTTTTCATACTGTTTCCATGTCCTCTGCAAGCCGCAGGGAAGATGAACATAGAAAAGTATAGTCGAGACTGCAATAAGCGCTTTCCCACACAAATACTCTCTCCATCATTAATTTCCCAGTGCGGATAAACGTATGGAAATTGCGTTTTTAATTGAAAAATAACACAATAGAGTGAAAATAGGTTGATCAGCAGTATATTTTGATTGTTTGCACTCCCTCACACTCTCTCGCACTTGGCAAAGTTTTAATTGAAATGAGACAATCATTTCACGGATAAATGAACAATATAGGAGGAAACTGCCACAGCTGATAAACGCATCACAATTTATTTCCGCCTATGAGTTTAAACATAACAGTCGCTTTGGCATCTGGAGGAAAGTGACTGAAGACATTCAGTCCTCGAAAGTCCTGATAATCCACAAGATTGACCTGATAGAAGGGCTGAAAGTTGGTGGATTTCCCAAAGATGTGACCAATTTCAGATATGCACAAACTAAAGGCAACTTTGTATCTTAATTCAGCCACACATTCCAGATTCTTTTGCAGCAGAATGTTGGACAAGGAGAGCTTCCGAAAGTCCTCATGAACACACATTAGCGACATGTAGCAAGCTTCTTTCACGCCAAATCGACGACAAACTTCAGATCTCAGCTTCATTTCTTCTATGAAAATCACTCCATCAAGATCATTGGGAAATCCTCGTTGCTCGGAGATCTTCTGGAGTCTCTGGAGATTTTCTCGGCAGCTTTCTTCAGTGAAATTCACTGCTAAAGATGCGCCAACTAACTTTCCTTCTGTGAACGCAAGAACCGAAGCACCAGAATCGATGGCTTTCATCTCGTTTTCCTCATCTTCTGCAGACTGAGAATTCGAATCACTTCCGAAAACATCGTAAGCATAGAAATGCTTCCGAAGAAATTCCAAAACACTTTCATAATCACTGATTTTTGCCACTCGCAGAAGCAACAATCTTGACGGATTCATGACTGGCGTTAAACTGAGCAATTAAGGCTTTATCTTCTTGTTTATTATGAGTTGTTGTTTAAAAAATACAACAGAGATAAATTCAGTTGATCTTCTTTCTCACAATATTCGCTGATTTATTGTAAAATTCACAGTGATTGCAGAGAAAATAGAACAATCTTCACCACTTTCTTTTGTAATTTACTTTTAAATTAGTTTAGCAGATACAGTGGCTTTAGCGTCTGGAGGAAAATGGCTAAAAACCTTCACCCCTCGATAGTCCTGATAATCCACAAATCTAATTTGATACACAGGTTTATAGTTAATAGACCTTACAAAAATGTGAGCAATGTCAGATATTGCTAATCCAAAGGCAACTTTGTATCCCAGTTTAGCTGCACACTCAAGATTCTTCTGTATAAGAATGTTGGACAACGTGAGCTTGCGAAAATCCTCATGAATGCAAGTCAAAGACGTGTAACAAGCTTCTTTCACGCCAAATAGACGACAAACTTGAGATCTCAGCTTCAATTCTTCTATGAAAATCACTCCATCAAGATCATTGGGAAATCCTCGTTGATCAGAGATCTTCTGGAGTCTCCGGAGATTTTCTTGGCAACTTTCCTCCCTGAAGTCTATCGCTAAAGCTGCGCCAACTAACTTTCCTTCTTCCTCATCTGCGAACGCAAGAACTGAAGCACCAGAATCGATGGCTTTCATCTCGTTTTCCTCATCTTCCGCAGACTGAGAATTTGAACTGTTTTTCCCTCCAAAAGTGTCGTAAGGATAGAAATGCTTCCGAAGGTATTCCAAAACTCGATCATAATCACTTATTGTCGCCACTCGAAGGAAAATCTGGCGATCTTTTAAGCACAATCTTGACGGATTCATATCTGGCGTTAAACTGAGCCAGAAAAGATGCTCAGAATTTATGTCACTCTGGATATTTTGTCATTCAATGCCACTGCAAACAATGAACGTTAATTACTCAGCTTTATCTTCATACATTTTTTATTTCTTGACTGAAGCAGAACAGACGATTTCACTACTTAAAATATTTTCAAGTGTTGCACAAAATAAAATAGAACAACTTCTGTTGTTCTGCAACCGTGAAAACTCGCGGAAATCTGCAAAATTGTGGGCAAATTGAGCAGGTAAGTCATCATCAAGTGCATAAAGTAATATTTTAAGACATTTGTATGATTGAATGTCGAAGTTTATTCTAATTTTGAAAGCAAACTGACCAATTGATCGTATATTTTTCGTGTTTTTAGTGTCTCAGAGAGAGCTTTGATGGATTTTAGGAGAGAATTTTTCAGAGTAAGAAGAAAATTAACATCTCTATCTGTAAAGGAGAAACATTGTTACAATTTTTTTAAAACTTCAGAAAAGAATTAAAACATTTTACGCGATTTTTTACACTTTTAATTTAATACTGCAATTCTATTTAGCGATTAAAGAATTTTTAAAATTGCTTTCAACAACAAACAAGTCAACTTTTTCGTCTAAATAATTGCTGTTCTGCCACTGTGATTAATTTCTTATAAAAAGCAGTGAAGGTGATCTTGAAAATTGCTATAAAAGTTTAAAGGAAAGAAGTGAATTTGAGATCGTCTGAGTGTTGGTCATGGAAATTTCAACAATATATCAGCAATAATGGTTTGGACACGACACGTGAGAATCGTATTGTCCAAACACGAGAAAGCCTGTAATTTAATTTATCTTAAGTTAATTCCCCCTTAAATTCCCAGTCGTGGCATTTTGTACCTAAAGTGCCTGTCGAAAGGTAAAGAATGGGCCCGTAAGCGATCGAAATTAGTGGGAGAGAAGAGGTCAAATTGACTGAGAAGTAAAAATTTCGGTGAATTTATGGGAATTGACGACATCAATCGAGGCTGAAAGGATCTTTCCCGGCGAGATCGACGAGATATTGGGCGCTGAGGCCAACCAACTGGACGCTGTAAATCAGTCCTTCTGGTCAATAAATTACCCCCAATACACCAATTGTAAAGCGAAGGAGAAAAACTCTGTGACACGCTTGGTGTTTAGGATCTCTTGTCGCTCTTTTTCTCCCTGCGCAACTTTTTCGTGGCGCGTTTTTTTCCCCCGACAAAATGTTCCCGCATGTCTCTGCCGATGGACACATTCGGTGTGGGTCCACCTTTTTCCCCTGGAAAAGAGTGTGTGTGTGTCTCTCTCTCTCTCGGCAGAACATGCACATGATGAAGTTTAATGATATATCGGCGATAGCAGCGAGAATCGGAGGAGGAGGAAGGAAAAAAAACCATTAAATTGATTTCAAACTGACGATAACTGCCAAACGCAAAGATATTGCATGTCGAGATGTCAACGGTTCGGGAGAGTGAATGGAGTTTATCCATATCCATTGACGGATTGCCTGTGCCGCGTGTGATCCTGAAATGCAGATAGAGGCAGCTGTCTGGCTGACGATTGAGTGTGCGGCCGAGACGAAGGAGCAGAATTGAGTGAGTGTTCTTGTCATGAAGTCTCGAAATAACATTCTCGGAAAAGATGATGGAAATTTCATTTTGCCATCGAACGGACTGAAAGGCGCTTTTCACTGCACACCAAATTTAATCGCCCTAATCCTTGCCTTTCAGACTTGTTGCTGTGGTAATCGCTTACACAGCAATTGGAGAATTCTGTCTCGAGAATTCGGGCCTCTCTCGGGTCGCCGTGCGACGTCTTGACGGCAATTTTCAGTGAGTCAATCGCCTCTTCGTCTCCCAAGGGTCAGAAAATGCCAAGAAGCAGATCTTGTGGTGTACAGCTCTTTAGGAAGTGATTTTAAATAGTTTCAAGTGATTAAATACCCTTCAAAGTCAACAAATTTGTATTTAAACTGGAAATATTTCACTTTTTCTAGTTCAGATTTAAGAATTTGTATTCAAAAAACCTTCATATTGGTTGATTAAAAGCCTAAAAGTCCAATTATGACCTAAAAAATATCTCTTTAGTCTCGAAAAACGTTTCTTTGCTTTGTTATTTCTATGTTTAATCTGTTACACAATTGAAAATGAATTTTTTACCCGGATTAATAACTTCTCACTTTACTCAGAATTTTTCTAAGCATTTCCCGAAGACAAAACTAAGAAATAAAGCTAGAAATTTCATTAAGAGTTTAATAAAATCAATTCTTCCAATCTGAAATCTAAGTATTTGAAGAGCTTAAGCCTCTTGAGGTGGAAAAACCTGGTTTAGATTGTGATAAAAGCTAGAAATTGGTGTAATAAACTATTGATGGCGCTCAGAAGTGTCTGAAGTGTTGAAGATTCTGCATGGCTAGGCATATTGTCTCCCCTTGGGAAAATGCAAAGAGAGCACGCCCTCTTGCAGGAGCCCAGAAGACAGAGAGTCCTTTTAATTAAGGCTAATGGAAGAGGGTGTCGGCAAGACTGGAGATCGAGATGGTGACACTGGACTAATGAATTGGCTGACGGTTCAATGGCCCTGAGATTCGATGTTTCGAAGATTGAGCGAAGAAATTGACCCAATTTCCCTACACTTTCTCCTCCTCCACGACCTTGATTTCTCCCCCCCCCCAGAAAAAGAAAACAGTGCGCGATATCTGAGCGATAATCGGAGAAATTAATTAATTTTTAAATAGCGCATTTCCCAGGAATTTCAGACAATTCCCGCGCACAGTTTGGGAGTCTCGCCAACAATACACAAAATTATAACTTTTTATGACAGTGATGAATGTATTATGGAGCGTCTAAAAGTCTTCATTCTTGAGGAAGACAATAAACAAATAAACAATCGTAAATGTTAATAAACCCCTCTCCTTCGTAAACAATTCCCTATCCTCTCTCTCTGTGCCACGGAATTGAGGAATCCGGAGGATCGTAAGACCTTTCAGCACGTCATTCTCCTCTATCTTCCCCTCCTTGCCGGCCATTCTCCAATTTTTAACGGCCTTTTCATAACATCACAGCCCTGTGTATGCACTGATACTTCTTTTTTTCCTCCCATCGGTCGTGTTTTTATGAATTTTATACGTGTTTTTGGATATAAAATAAATTTCGGAGCTCCACTCTGTATAATGTTGCTCGAATGTCAATAAAACCTGCGTAAATTGCTTTATTACACTAATTAGAGGAGAGAGATGATCTGTGTTTTTTTGTATGTTTATTCTCTTTATGTGTGTTTTTTTCTTTTCTGTTTTGGAATTGGTTGCACGCAAGTAGGCAAAAATTCATAAACGCTTCACCTCAAATTAATTTTCAAGAACACGAGATTATTCTCAAGACGCCCGTAAAATTGTGCAACTCTTTTTTTGCTCATGCTGGAAATTGTGTTAATCAGAATTAATTCGATGTTTGCAATTCAGTTGCTCGTGATTCTTTCTGGCGAAGACATGCAATATTTCTGTTCTGGAACTTCTTAGCCAAGCAAGACACACACGTTAAATTAATACATCGCACCTGCCATTGAACAGTGATATATTAGCGAATTTAATTGCTTCTGCTAGACAATTCTGTTGATTCTCCTGAAAATTATTCTAAAGAGATTCTGAAAACAGACACCAAGGGGGAGATATTGCAGTCTGAAGTGATGTACAGCTCATCAGAAGTACTTAAGAAGTAAAAGTGTTCAAAGACTAACAAAATTCCTGTTCTTAGCATTTCTTTCAGAGCTAAATCATTCAAATTCTATGGATTCCTATCGATTTGTTACACAGAAACAATTGTAATCATCGTAATAATTCTTTTTTCTAGGTTATGTAGTGAATCAAGGACAAATTTAGTGAATAATTCGGCATTTTAAAGTCGATAAGATTGATAATCATTAGACAGAATTGTGCATTTGCATGCAATAAACATGCTTTTCTGCCCAGAAACACTGCAAATTGTGTTGAAGTCGAACATAACCTCAAAAATATTGATTTGGACCTGAAAAATGTGCATTTAGAGAACGTTTTGCACAGTTTTGACTATGAATAAGCAATTTTGAGTTCAATAGAAGATCATAACAGATGAGATTGTGATCTAGAAATCTTC